GGCCCGACGCGCAAACAACCCAGAGGGCGGCGGAGGGCGCAAGGCGCCAGAGAGGACTGCGCGTAAAACAGCAAATATGCCGTCGGCCTGGAGAGTTGGCGGCGCGCAGAGGGGGGGTAGGGGGAGTGGGGAGGGCTTCTCAGGAGCACCCCTGCTTCTCAGAAGGCGCGGGCCTTCTCTGCAAATTTAAAGCCGGCGCCTTCTTAAGAAGCAGCATCCTTCCGAGAAGCCTTCCCCCCTCCCCCTACCCCTTTCTCCGCGCCGCAAAAGAGAATGTCAAGAGGTACCTCCTGGGAACTCTTCGCAAGAACGGCTGGCGTGAGCCCGATCCAGGGGCTGTGAAGACGGATGCGCCGCGATTGAGCCCAAGGTTGAGCTCGATTGAATCAGCTTAAGAGGGACTGCGTAGAAGCAGCTGGAAATAAGCCGAATTGCGTAGATTTCTGGCCATGGGTATACCAGCGCGGATGCCGAACTACAATCAATCCGTCGAGTAAGGGCGCCCGGTAAGGATGCAAGGACCTTGGAGGGCCATGTCGCCGCGGCCAGCGAAAACGGCCAAGGATGGGCCAGAGGGGAAGGATTCAAAAATAACCTTGGAAAGCCGCCCATCCTTACTATCTGGAAGGAAGGGAGGGAGCGGTGACTTGACGAAACATCAAAAAGGATATGTTTGTTCCCGCCTCCGACTTCTCGTGGTGTCTTCGAACGGACAACAACTCGTTGGGCCCAGCTCGGAGTTATACGATAGGGGGTGCGCCTATTCCCGGTATGGGGTGCGACCGAATAGACCCACTGGGGGTGAATCCCCGAATGGCTTTCCTTTTTGCGGAGCGGTTCAATGACTAGTGGAAAAGTCGGGGCTTGGTGCTGCGAAGTCGCCTGCAAAGTGCTGCCCTGGGGCGCCTTCAGCCTCTTCGTGGACCCAGTTTCCTGGTGTCGACCCCCTTGAGAGCATCGTGGGCGAAAAGCATACAGTCTGGGCGTTGACCTAAGGAACCCTACATAAGGAACGAGGCCCCTCCTTTCCCATAAGTTGAACTTCGATTCCCCATCCAAGACCTTGGGAAAACCTGAGGCAAGCTGTGAAACAATCCAGGAACACGGAGCCCCTCCCCAACGAAAAGGGCTCCTTCTTCAAGACCCCTACTGCATCCGCACCCGCGGCCTCGCGGGCCGGGCCCCCGGGGCGCGACCCCGCGCGGCTACGGGTCGTTTCCTCGCGGCTGCACCGCAGAGAGGACGCGCTCGTGCGACCCGCGCGCCCGCGAGCTCGCGCTCCGGAGTCCAGACCGCCAGAGCCCCGACGTCGCGACTTATTTGTTTTTGGCAGCGTCGACCCCCCAAAGGGTTCGAGCCCTTCCCCGGGACCGGTTTGTCATCCCGAGTTGTTTGAGGGGGCCCTGGGACACACAAAGAAATACACACAAAGAACAAGAGTCCCCATGTTTTCCCATAGTTCCGGAGTTTCTGTTTTCCCCCCCACTTCCCATATTTTCCCATATTTTCTGAGGAATCGACGATTAATTGTGTCTGTGTGTTTTTTTGTCCCTCCTGATTGTTTTTTGTTCAGACCCGAAAAACCTCCCGTCGAGACTTGTTCACCGCGCGAGGGGGTCTGGGCCGCGAGGGCGTGGATGTGGACGCGTCCACCGCTCGTGGGGGCACGGCGGACGCGAGCGTCCAGCGTGGCCGACGCCCCACATCAGGGCAAGCACTGGCTGGGCCACGCGGGGGCGTGCACCGTGGGCCGTCCCAATAGTGCCGCTGGCGACTGCGGAGGGGAGGTGCCCTCTTCATGAGCGATCCCCTGAGGGAGGAACCGATCATTGGGACGCAGACTGGCCATCGCTCGGACGTCCATTTCCTGTGTTTTTGTTCGGTTTCGTGCGTGGCTTTTTCGCGAAATGATCAAGGATGCTCCTCGATGGTCCTCGCCGAAGGAAAAGATTCACACGTTCGAGCGATGGGAAGCAGAAGGACGTACGAGTACCGTTCGGGGAGATGTGAGGCTCAGGTTCGGCGCACTGGGGTTGGCCCGACGGGGCCGTCGTGAAAAAACGGCACGACCCACTCTGAAACTTGACGCGAACTCCCGTTGCAGACATCCCACGAGCAATGGGCTGTCAACATCCAGTGCGGGCCTGTCAAAAAGCATGGGCAGGCCCGCGTTCTGGAGCACTCGAGTCGCACGTTTCCCTGGATTGTGCGTCCTCCTCGGATGCGCCCGTCCGGCCCGAACATATATCAGGAGGAAAAGAAACACACAGACACAATTAATCCTCGATTCCCCAGAAAATATGGGAAACTATGGGAAGTGGGGGGGAAGACAGAAACCCAGAAAATATAGGGAAATATGGGGACTATTTTAATTTGTTTTTTTTTGTGTCCTGGGGCCTCTTCAATATAGTCTAGTTCAAGCGTCTTGTAGCAGATCGTGTCCCGAGCGGCGTGGCCAGAGAGCGCCCGCCACCGAGGATCCCCTATGAGGTTTCTCGGCGCGCGCGTCGCCCCTGCGAGGGTGACGCGCACATAGCATTAGCATGTTACTGAAGAGGCCCCAGGACACACAAAGAAATACACACAAATACAAAAATACTCCCCATAGTTTCCCATATGTTCTGGGCTTCTGTCTTCCCCCCCACTTCCCATATCTTCCCATACTTTCTGGGGAATCGAGGATTCATTGTGTCTGTGTGTGTGTCTTTTCCTCCTGAATGTTGGGGTGACACTGGATCATAACGTTTGGGCTCATCGCAGCCAGCATCGGATCCTCGAGGGCCCAGTCCAAGGCTGGCGGATCCCCGGTGTTATGCATGCGTGCTGCGCACTGCACTCGTGCCGTGCACTCCTGCTTGGGCACGGGTGCACCTGGAGGAGAAAGAAGAGGAGGAGGCAGAGGGGGCGCATGCTGACGACACCGTGGAGACGCTCTCTCTCTCTCTCTCTTTCTCTCTTTCGGCGCTGGACAAACCTCCCTTTAGTAGATCTCCCCTTAGTGAAAACGGCCTGGGACCGAAACCGACGGACCTGGACCCACAAAAATGACGGCCGCGACGCCCTCTCGCGAATCGAAAACGGCCAATTCCTTAATCGACGTGTCAGGGTAGGAGGTCTGTCCACCCCCGACTCTTTCTCTCTCTGTCGCTGTCTCTCTCTCTCTCTCTCTCTCTCTCTCTTTCTCTCGATGCAAATATCTACATGTCGATGTATGTATGTGTTGCCTTTGCCGGAACAGCCACATGGTTCGATGTGGAGGTGCTGTTGGCGTACGCGCGTGCCGTTCACACCACGAGTCGGGCAACAAGAGAGAGATCGCCGAGCAGATCCGCAAGCCCAATCGAGAGGGGGGCGAAGGTCGATGCTGCACTACTCTGGAGGACGTAAAAGGTACTCCAGATTTCGTAATAAAGGGTGGGGGGTCTCATTTCGGGGGGGGGTCTCTTCCAGGCTATCTTGGAGGGCCTGGGGGGTCTGGGGACTATGTTTTGGAGGGTTCTCCCACGGGGGCGGTCTGAAATGGCTTGTCTTGGAGGGTCCAGACCCCCTCCCTTTTATTACGACATCTGGAGTAGGAGAGGAAAATCGCTCAAACCAGCTGCTGGAAGAAATCTAGGAATGAAGTAAACGGCCCTACCCTGGGTTACAAGTCCGTGGTCAGTGAACCTCCCGGGAACTCCCGCTGGCCAGAGAGCCGCCAGGACGCCGCGCGGCACGCGCGATACGCAGGGTTTACCCTGTCAGCCCACAGGAGGTTCAGCGCACAGCGCCTCATAAACCAGGGTAGGGGCGTTTTTTACGCCCTTGAAGAAAGGAACTCGAGCATCCAGCTGGGTTCGTTCCCTCACCCCACCTTGGCAAAATCCCCCTCTACGAACCCCCGGGCTATGGCAGATCCGCAACCCCAGCGGAGAGGGGTGACCGCCGACGCTGCACCATGCATCGCTGCACCGCCTAAGCCGGAGCAGTGACCCCGTCGCGGGCAGTGCTCTCTGCCCCGCGGGGCCCTGGAGGACTGCAGCAGACAGGGCGACGGGCGCCAGGCCGCAGCCCGCTACGGAGGGGTGCGCTGGAGCTGCACCGAGGCCGAAGGGCAGAAACCGTTCACGTCGCAGCGCGGCAGAGGCCATCCGCAGGCGCGCTCAGCCGGTCTGGGCAACGGAAAGCGCAAATCAACCAGCGGCAGGAGGGAAGGACAGAAACAAGGGAAGGGGAAAAAACAGTGGCATTGACTCAACATCTCGGAGGTCCGTGCAGATTCATCGGGTCGGCGCTGGGGTCCCCCAGCGGCGCCTCTGGCGGCGCCCCTGGCGCGCTCCACGACAGGAGGGGGGGCTGGGGCCCCCTGGCGGCGCCGGGGCCCCCGGCGGGGCTCCCGGCGGCGCCCCTGGCGCGCAAAGGGGGGTCCAACGCCGATCCGAGAAGTCTGCGCGGACATCCGAGTTTTCTGTCTGTGTCACTTGTTGTTTCCCCAAGGGGGGCTCGGCCTCGATGGGCATTGCTCTGCATTGCTCTGCATCGCATCGCATCGATGTGCAGTGCGGCGCGCTGCTGCGCTTCGATTGCATCGCATTGTATTGTTTTGCGCTGCCGCGGTGCTCTGCCTTGTATTGTGTTGCATGGTGATGCAAGGCGTTGCGTTGCGCTGCGTTGCTGAGCATTGATTTCCATTGCTTTGCATTGCTGTGATTTGCTATACATTGCCTTGCACTGCGTCGAAGTGCGTTGAATTGATCTGCATTGCTGTGCAATGCGTGTCATTGCTTTGCGATGCGATTCCTTGCTTTGGTTTGCATTGATTTGACCTGCTTTTGCAACGCATAGCTTGCACCACCTAGGCTGCACCACAGTGGTTGCATCGCCTAGATTGCACCGCTTAGATTGCTCACACCTGTCAGGGCGAGGGAAAGAACGAGAGAGTGAGAGAGGAGAGAGAGAGAGAGAGAGAGAGAGAGATCCAGCAACACAGAGTCTGCATGCTTATTGCTGCCTTTTACTTTTCGTACTACAAAGGCCCTCATGCAGTCAGCCGCTCGAATGGCTCAGCAGACTGACTGGGAACTGACTGGAGCCGCACTCTTTCAAATGGGCAGGTGCCCTCAAGCCATGCCCGCTGATCGGGCGGTGGCGGGGCGGCAGCGGAAGCCGCTCCCAGGCCCAAGCCTGGAGAGGAGCAGAGACCGCCGCGTCGTCCGTCTCCCCCGACGCAGTCGGCACCGGGAGGGCAAAAAGTTCTCGCTGCGCCAGCGTGAGCGCTCGCCGGGTGGCGACCCATCCTCCGACTCGGAGGTCCGCGTGGACCTCCGCCAAGGGTGAAGGGGCCCCAGGACACACAGATAAATACACACAAATGGAGCTACTCCCCATATTGTTCCCACATTCTCTGGGTTGTTGTTTCCCCCCCCCCCTTCCCATATCTTCCCATATTTTCTGGGGAGTCGGCGATTCATTGTGTCTGTGTGTTTCTTTCCCTCCTGGCAGGGGGGGTCAGGGCCGGGGTCTGGGAGGGCCGCGCGGACCTCCAGGAGTCCGTGCTCGTGCGCGCGGCTCTTCGTCGCTCCGGAGGCGCGCGGGTCGCGAGGAGCTTCGCGCTCCCAGGGGGTCACCCAGTCCTGGCCCCTCGGGAGGCCCCTCGGCCTCCTCATCCCTGCTCCTCCTCCTCCTTCTTCTTATTAGTATTATTCTTCCTCTTCTTCTCGTCGTCCTCCTGCTCCTTCTTCTTCTTCCTTTTCTTCTCCTCCTCCTCCTCCTTCTTCTTCCACCTCTTCTTCTTCCTTTTCTTCTCCTCCTCCTCCTCCTTCTGCTTCCTCTTCTTCTCCTTCCTCATCCCTGCTCCTCCTCCTCCTTCTTCTTCTTCCTCTTCTTCTCGTCGTTCTCCCGCTCCGCGTCGTCGTCGACGTCCTCCTGCGCCCCGACTGGACCGAAGGCGACATGGCAGTCGAGTGGTCGACGCTGCTGGCCCCCCCCGCCCAGTGGCGAGGGCTAGGAATAAGTAAAAGGAACCTGTAGAATCATCTTCCTGCTCCTCCTCCTCCTCTGCCTTTTCCTCCTCCTCCTCCTCTTCCTTATCCACCTAGCCCTAACTGCGGCTGGTCCTCCTCCACCTGCTCTTCCTCCTTCTTCTAATCATAATCCACTTCATGGCTCTCTCCTCCTCATCCTTTTCCTCCTCCTCCTCCTATTCTGGCTAGCTCCCGCCTCCTCCTCCACCTCCTCCTCTTCTGCCTTTTCCTCTTCCTCCTCCTCCTCCTCCTTCTCCTCCTCCTCTGGCTTGCTCCCTTCCCCAGCTCCTCCTCCTCCTTCACTTCCTCCGCGCATCCTCTTCTACTCATCCTCCTCCCCCTCCTCCCCCTCCTCCTTCTCCTCCTTCTCCTCCCCCTCCACCTTCTCCTCCTCCTCCTCCTCCGCCTCCCAATCATCCCACTGGTGATTTTGTAAGCAGGCTTTTGGACCGTTAAGCGACGCAGCCCGCACCTCCACTCAGCGGCCTTTGCCGCCGGGTAGAGGATCAAACTTCCTGGCGGCACCCTGCCGCCATGGAGGGCGAAGACCCTCCTATTCCTCGCCCCCCATCCTCCACCTCCTGCTCCTCCTGCTGCTGCTGCTCCTCCTCCTCCACCTCCTCCTCCCATTCGTGCTCCTCCTGTTCCTCCTGCTGCTCCTGCTGTTCTTCATCATCACTATCAGCATCGTCAACATCATAATTATCAGTTTCGTTGCCGCCGTCATGGTCATAGTCATCATTGTCGTCGTCGTCGTCATCATCATCATCAGCATCATCACCACCAAAACCACCACCATCATCATCATCATCATCATCATCATCATCATCATCATCATCATCATCAGCATCATCATCATCCACATCAGTATCAATATCATCATCAGCATCATCATGATCAACGGCATCATCCTAATCATCATCGTCATCATCATCATGTGCAGCACCATCATCATAATCATCATCAGCATCACCATCAACATCGTCGTCATCATCATCATCATCATCATCATCGTCATCATCGTCGTCGTCATCATCCTCATCGTCATCCTCGACCTCATCCTCGACCGCACCATCAGCAACAACGACATATGCACAAGCATCATCATGATCATCACCATCATTATAAAACCACCACCCCTTCCCCTAGCAAAACCACCCCCCTAACCCCTCCCCCCCCTTCTCCGGAAAACCGGGAAGGGTCACTACAAGTTCGAATCCCTCCCCCCCTCCCCCCCTCCGGAAAACGGGGGGGGAGGGGGGTCACTACCATTTTGAACACCCCCCCCCCTCGCCGCCGACTAAAAACTCCCGGGTCCCCACCACCATCCCCACCACCGCCCTCACCACTGTCCCCACCACCGCCGTCCCCACCACTGTCCCACTGTCCCCACTGTTCCAACCACTGTCACCACTGTCCCCACCAATCCCCCCACCACCGTCGCATTGTCCCCAATGTCCCCGCCACCGTCCCCGCCACGGTCCCACCCTCCCCACCGTCCCCACCACTGTCCCACTGTCTCCACTGTCCCCAACACTGTCCCAGTCCCCACTATCCCCGCCGCGGTCCCACTGAGCTGTCCCACTGCTCCCACCACTGTCCCCAAAACTCTCCCCACAATACCACTGTCCCATTGTCCCACCACCGTCCGCACCACCGCCCTCACCACTGTCCCCACCACCACCGTCGTCCCCAACACTGTCCCACTGCCCCAACCACTCTCCCAGTGTCCTCTCACCACTGTCCCCACCACCACCGTCCTCAACACTGTCCCACTGTTCCCACTGTCCCCACCACTGTCCCACTGTCCCCACTGTTCCCACGACTGTCCCCACTTTCCCCACCAGTGCTCCCACTAGTCCCACTGTTCCCACTGTCCTCACCACTGTTCCCACCACGATCCCACTCTCCACTCTGTCCCAACTGTCCCCACCACTGTCCCACTGTCCCAACAGTCCCCACCACTGTCCCCCTGTTCCCACTGTCCGCACCGCTGTCCCACTGTGCTGCCCAACTGTCCACACTGTCCCCACCACTGTCCCACTGTCCCTCTGTCCCTACTGTCCCCACCACTCTCCCCACTGTACCACTGTACCACCGCCGTCCTAACCACGGCCCTCACCATTGTCCCAACCACCACCACCGTCCCCACCACCGTCCCACTGCTGTCCCCACCACCACCGTCCCCACCACTGTCCAAATGTCCCCATTGTCCCCACCACTGTCCCACTGTCCCCACAGTATCAACCACTGTCCCCACTGTCCCCGCGAGTGCCCCCGCCACTGTCTCACTGCCCCCACTGTTCCCAGCACTGTCCCCACCACGGTCCCACTCTTCCCACTCATGTCCCCACACCATCCACCATCCCCACCACCGTCCCAAGTCCCCCATCTGGAGTGGGAGAGGAGGGGGAGTCGTCGCGGCGAGGGGGGAAGGAGGGGGAAGGGGGGGGGGGTCGAACCGGCAGTGACCCCCCCCTTTTCATGATGGACCGGGGAGGGGAGGAGGGGGGGGTTGGAACCCTCAGTCACCCTGGTTTTTGAGAAGGGGGTGGGACAGATGGAAACCCCTAGCGACCCCCTCCCCCACGGTGTTCTGCCAGCAGTGTCCTCAACATCATCATCGTCGTCGTCATTAAAATGATCATCACAATCATCATCAACATCGTCATCATCACGATCAAACTCATAATCATCATCAGCAGCAGTATCATAATCATCACAACCACCATCATCATCAGCAGCATCACCATCATGAGCATCAGCACAATGAGGTTCATCATCATGGATATCATCACCTCCCCCACCATCACCAACACCACCATCATCATCGTTATCATCAATATCATCATCATCGTCGCCATCGTTGTATCCATCGTCATCATCAGAGTCTTCATCAGCATGAGCATCAACATTGTCATTATAACCATCACCATCACCATCATCATCTTCATCATCACCACCCAAACCATCGTCATCATCGCCGTAGTCAGTATCGCTGTCACCATCCTCATCGTCGTTGTCATCCTCCTCATCCTCATCATCATCAGCATCATCATCCGAATCCTCACCCTCAGCATTGTCATTCTCGTCATTATCATCGTCATGATGATGATTATGATCATCATGATCATCCAACGTCATCAGCATCAACATCAGCATCATCAGTATACGCAACATCAGCATCATCATGATCAGCATCATAACCATCACCATCATCATCACCATCAGCATCATCATTAGTGTCGTCATGCTCATTCTCAGCATCATCATCATCATCATCATCATCATCATCATCATCATCATCATCATCATCGGCATCGACATCATCATCGTCCTGATCTTCATCCTCAACCTCAACCTCATCCTCATCCTCATCCTCATCGTCTTCATAATCATCACCATCATCATCATCCTCGCCACCATCCCCATCCTCATCACCATCCTCATCGTCCTCATCACCATCCGCATCCCTTCTTCTGAACGGTGGCCCGGGACACCGCCTGCCCTCAGAGCCGCCTCCTCGGCGACAGCGCCGTGGCTCACGCCTGCCGCCCGCGCTTCTCCGAAACCCGCGCGCGGCACGCGCCGTCTTCCTCGCTACGGCTGCTCCCTCATGCTCAACCACCTCCTCCTCCTCCTGCCCTCATCCTCATCATCATCCTCACCTTAATCCTCCTCCCCCTCCTGCTCCTCCTCCCCCTCCTCATCGTCATCCCCGTCATCATCCTCATCATCCTCATCATCCTGATCATCCTCATCATCCTCATCATCCTCATCCTCATCCTCATCCTCATCCTCATCCTCATCCTCATCCTCATCCTCCTCATCCTCATCCTCATCCTCATCCTCATCCTCATCCTCATCTCATCCTCATCCTCATCCTCATCCTCATCCTCATCCTCATCATCATCATCATCATCATCATCATCATCATCATCATCATCATCATCATCATCGTTATCATCGTTATCATCGTTATCATCATCATCATCATCATCAAAATCATCATCATCATCATTATCATCATCGGAATCGTCATCATCGGAATCAACATCATCATCAACATCATCATCAGCATCACTACCGACATAATCACCAACATCGTCGTCGTCATCATCATCGCCATAAGCATCGTCCTCATCCTCATCATCATCCTTATCTTGATCATCATCATGATCAGCCTCAGCACCATGCTCACTATCATCCTCATCCTCCTCTTCAACCTCATTCTCACCATCACCATCAGCATGACCATCGTCGTCATTATCAGCAGCTTCATCCGCATCATCATAAGCATCCTAATCACCCTCAGCATCAGCATCAGTACCATCATCACAGGCATCACCATCATCATCATCATCATCATCATCATCATCATCATCATCATCGACATCATCATCGTCATCACTGTCATCATCATCATCATCATCATCATCATCATCATCATCATCATCATCATCATCATCATCAATATCATCATCATCACCATCATCATCAATATCATCATCAATATTATCACCATCATCATCATCATCATTCCCTTCATCCCCCTATTCCTCCGCCTCCG